GTGACATTCAAAACTCTTCTCTATTTATCTTGGTAGTTTCTATTGGTCTGGTTGGGAGGAGTTTTGTTTTCTTGACGTTGAGTTTTAACCCACACTGAAGAGTATAGTCTTTGGTCTGCATCAGCAATATCTTCAAGTCTTCTGTTTTATAAAGAAGTTAATCCATGCATCTGAATTGTACCTGCAGGAATTCTTGAATTGGTGTATGTTCTGCTATGCATATTCACAACAAAAACAATAAAATAAAACAAGATAAATTAAAGAAAAAGAAATAGGTGAGGTGAGTTTTAGTAATAGTGTATATTTACCGTGCATATTTTATTTTTCCCAATTTATCCCAGAGCTGTCATTGGACATATATTATCAATATGAAAAAAATCCTATATTAGTCTGGGTAGACTAGAGAAACAAATCCACAGAAACTCATATGTTTTATATAAAGGGTAAGTGTACATTAAGAAAGCATCCCAACCCAGTGCTGTCCAAGCCCATAAGTCCAACATTAGCCCATATGTCTGATACCAATCTACAATGTCCTCCTCAATCTCACAAAACACACGCAATGACGCCGACTGCAGGAGGAAGGCCGAATCAGTGAGCGTGTAAGCATCTCAGTGCTGGCAGGAGTCTCCACATGGCTGTTCCAGGACCCAGGGCTGCATCAGGGTAGGTCCATGTGGCTTCTCCTCAGGGATATCTCACAGGAAGTGAGCCTTGCCAGCTAAGGCAGCTGCACACTGATCCGACCATCAGAGAGCAAGAGACCAGAGGACAAGAAAGGTGAGTCTCACAGAGCCATTATCTCTGCCCTTCAATTAATTCCACACGTGTTTATGGGCCATGTTGGCACAATAAACCTTAACTATCTCAAATCCGTACTGAGATCTTTTCCCTTCAAAAAAAAATTAAGTCTTTGAAATCTGACACCTACACCAGTAGTTTTCAATGGAGGGCCATTTTGTGCAGATTGCTTGGAACATTTGGAAATAGGTGGGACTTTTTTTATTGCCACATTGGGTGTGCCCAATAGCCGCATGTGGCAAATGACTGCCACATTGGACAGTACAGCTTTATAACATGATATTATGTGAACACACTCTTTTAAAAGTCAAAATTTTAATATGTAGAGCTTGTTAAGTTTGCGTTCTTGTTCATCCTTGAATAACTGGCTAACTGGCCAAAATATCTGTGGCTGGTTCTCCAGTCCCTGACTGGTCAGACTCTTCCAAAGCTATGTACCCTCTCTGAACAGAGGAAGGCTGGGAATGACAGTGAGCCCTGTTCTTTTCTGGGGAGACAATGCGGCAGGCCCTGCTACCTGCCTGACAGGGCTATTGTGGCTTGGGGAGAATGGGGCTTTGTCAGAACTAAAGCCCAATAGCTTGCCATTCAATGGGGTCCTTTATATCTGTCCTATGGGCTAGCTCCCTGATGGCCCTGGGAGGCCCCGCCCCCTCCAAGAGCAGATGGGGAGCCTGAGGCCCAGAGAGGGTGTGGAAGGCCTCACAGGCATCCCAGATCCCCTCATCTCAACCCACTGCCTTAAAAGATGAAATTCACTGTGAAACTGTGAAAACCCTTGTCTAAAGCATAAACACTGGGCTGTCCTTAGACTTGGGAAAAAGGAGACTCCTTTGGGGGCCTGAATATGTAATGGCTTTGAGAACCATAAGTACATACAAATGAAAATGTATTATAGAATTCTGGTGTGCTTTTGCTTCTCGGGATCCAGGTTCAGCTCTGGTGCTGGCAACATACATTCCTAAGCATCCTCTCTGATGATTGACAAAGCTCAGGTTCCAAGGACACACTCCACCTCTCACAGCCTCTCAAGTCTTTGGAACAAAAGCAAATGAATGTGAATGTGCTGAAGGTCTGTGAAATTGTGGCAGGCGTGCCCACAGATGGGTTTTCCCCCTTGCCCAGTCAAGTAGAATGAGGCAGGGTGCCAAGCTTACTGCACAAGCTAAATGATTCATTCACGAGAGAAATGCCTTGCAAAGGAAGATATGGCAGTGGCCCTGAAAGAAAACAAACAAGGGAAAAGGAGATATATATTTTTAATCATTTTATTGGGAGCTCATACAACTCTTATCACAATCCATACATACATCCATTGTATGTCAAATACATTTGTATATTTGGTGCCCCCATAATTCTCAAAATATTTGCTTTCTACTTAAGCCCTTGGTATCAGCTCGTCAATTCCCCCCTCCCTCCCCCC